TCCCCCCCCCCCCAGTGGTGAGCGAGGGAGTGGGGTGGGGCAGAGGCAGGTGCTGCACAGCCAGGGCAGGATGGGAGGCACAATTCCTGCTGCTACAGGCTGCTGCTGTGGGCTGGGGGGCTGCACCAGGCTCTTCTCAGCAGGGGGCTGGGCCAGGCTGTGCTTGCGATGAGTGGCAGCGCCACTGGGAAAGGAGCTATGGGGGGGGCTTGCAGCCACCCCAAAATTCGCCATAGCCTCCCCAACTCCCTTCTCAGTGCTGCCACTGCCTGTCCTGAGTGCAGCATGGCCCAACCCCCACCCCACCAGGAAGAGCCTGGTGCTTCCCCTGAACCCAGCCCACAGCAGCAGCCCATAGCAGCAGGAGCCATGCCCTCCATCCGGGCTCTAAAGCACCTGCCTCTGCTCCAGCCCCATCCCTCCCTCACCACCAGCTGGGGGCCAGATTGAAGCCTTACTTACCCCAGCCCTTAAGGCCAAGCTCTTCCTGGTGGGGGGTTGGGCTGCACTGTGCTCAGGGCTGCCGGCAGTGGCGCTGGCCCCCTTCCAGTGCCATCACCACCTGCCTCAAGCACAGCTCAGCCCAGTGCCCCCACTAGGAAGAGCTCAGTGCCGCCCCAGCGGACTTACCTGCTGCCAATGCAGTTGAGGTCCTGGAACGTATCCCTATTTGTTAACTTGTAAGGTGGGTTCCTTTTATGCAAAGTCGAGTTATGCACAGTTTTTCAGCAACGCATCTACTGCATAAAGTGAGGGAAGCCTGTATTCTATAGTTCTGAAAAAGTATTTCAGTTTAAATAAGTTTTGGAATACGCTTCACATGCAAATTAGGGATGTAAATGCCGATTAAATAAATATTCATTTAACCTGTTGCGATTACAACAGGTTAAACAATTAATCCGTTAGGCACAGGGATGGAGATGGGCATGGCAGCGCTGGGCTCCAACCTGTAGCTCTGAAGTTGGGTGTTGGGGGTAAGGGGTAAAGAGGGAGGTGCTGAGCCCCAGATGCCTGCCCTGCTGTGGAGGAGGGACTACAGCTACCTTCCTTGAGTAGCAGGGGGAGCCAAGGGCCAAAGCAGTCCCATCAGGCAGGTGGTACAGCCCAGGAAACTGGGGGGTGGGGGGGGGAAAACAGTTGCCAATGAAGGGCTGCAGCCACCGATATGCAGCTTCCTAGGGCCAGCTGCAGCAGCGCAGTTAGGAAGAGGGAGGGGAGAGGCAAGCAGCAGCCAGCAAGGGTTTACCAGCTGCTGGTGCGCTGTGAGGGAGAGCAGGCAATTACTCTCCTTCCTCTCCCTTCTCTTCTCTCCCTCCCTGCCACCTTTGTGGTTCCTCCTAGGGCACGGCAGGGCTTTCTTTCCCCTTCCCTTCCCTCCCAGACTGCGCCAGGTCCCAGGCTAAATGATAAGCAGTAAACTAGAACCAGTTATCGCTGAGCTGGATCAATTAAATGATGAATCGCTTTACTGTTCACATCCTTAGTGCAAATCTTTATTTAATTATGAATAAGCCTGGGAAAAAAAACTAAACATTTGAAGTGCTTCAACTGCCTCTGAAGCACTTCACATAGCAAGCACAGATGCGCACACACACAAAGAAGTGCTTCAAAAACGATCCTCAAAAAAGAGGAGAAGAATCTTAGAAGTGTTTCCTGAAATGCCTACAAGCTCCATGGAGCACAACAGGGGTTGCTTGGTCCTTTGGTACCAAAGAGAAAGTGAACTAAAGGGAAAGTGAAAGGGGAAGGTAGGGACACATGTGAACAGGAATGGGGTAGATTGGTTATCATTTAACCAACTTTACAGCTAAAACCTGAAAGGATTTAAGATGAATTTAAATCACAAGGGGTTGAAAAAGATTTTTAAAATCCCTATTTTTTGCTTTTGTCCACTTTACTGCTTCAATCTAAAAAACTATAAAGGAAAACCACTATGAAAACAAATCCTAACACCTAAGGGTAAACTGAAATGTGTGGCAGTATATTCAATTTTCCAATATATTTTTCAGTGCTATTGTGCAGACATCCTTCATTATTCTTAGGAGTGGCAGTCCTAAAGATCAAGGAAGGCTGAACACATCATTGATCTACAGCCATTTTAATATACTTTATACAACAAATAAACTTATCAATGATTTAACAGTGAAAGTAAAATATATCACCTCTCAGTGGTAAAGAGAGTCTTTCAGAGTCTTTCAAATAAATATGAAACCACCATCAGAACACTGGAAACATGATTTATAAATGAGGTATAAGTACACATATACAGCCAAATTAATGCCCCCCCCCCAACTGCATATCCTAGAAATTTTAAAAGATCAGCAAAAAACATAATGGAGCTTCTTTAAAAGTATCATATTTTCTTGCATATCATGTGCCCACAGAAGAAAATCAGCTTTCCTACTTAAGATGCACCACAATTTTGGGGAGGCTGATTTTTGGGGAAAAGGTGCACGTGGTACATGTAAATCATATACAGTATTTTATATATAGTATACATCATATATAATATTTTACTTGAATATAACACCAGTCTAAACATATTATTATAGCAGTAGGAGTTTATACAGCAACAGATGTCAAGCTGTCAAATGTAGATATCAGGTATCTGGTGTGTACTTGGACTATTATTTTGAATATAAAATTCAGGCCTTTCAATTATTCCTACCAATTTTTTTTTCCCCAACTAGTACTGTGACAACTTCAAACAGTTACCTTCTCACTAAGCTTAGCACATCTGTCCTGTAACAAGTCAAAAACTGGAACAGAAAGAAAAGACACTGGAATTCGCCATCCAGCGTAAGGTGTCAAGGGCCCGCAGCAAGGCGGTAGCCCTAGACTTCAGGAGGGCCAACTTCGTTGAGATGAGGAGATTAGTGGGAGAGGCACTGGGGTCCCTGAGGGCAGAGGAACTCAGTGTCCAGGACGAGTGGTCGTTCCTTAAGGAAACGATACTCACGGCCCAAGG